GGTTGGGGAAGGTGGGGGAGGGGGCGAGGGCGTAGGCGGTTCAGTGAGTCCCAGCCAGTGGGAACAGGCAGCTAGGAGACTCAGGCACCGGGGCGTTAGGCAGCAGCTGAGGCCGGTTTTAGGATGTCGGGGGGGCCTAAAGCGGCTGATCTGGCCTCAGTCTCTCTGTGCCTCTGTCTGTGCCCTGGGTACAGCCCTGCCCTGCCTCCCGCGGAGTTGGCAGGATAAAGGGATTAGGCCTGGGGGATACTTCAGGCCTACGGGACACAGGCTGGACCCGTCCCTAAGCGCGTAGAGCAGGCGGGCCCCTGGCTGTCTGGGGCCAGGGACCTGCTCTGCACCAGCCTGCAGGCCACGAAACGCTCAGCCCTTGGCCAGCTGACACATTCCCACGCCCGTGAGAGTTGCGCTGTGTGCGCGAGAGCAGCGGGAACGTCCCTGTGAGAGCGAACTCCCCGGCAGGCTTCCCTCAAACGCCTTTAAAATAAGCTTCCCCCCATTTCATGGGGTTCCCTGCCACCAAAGGGGAGCCCCCTACTGGAGCTGTTCGCTAACCAAGGTCCTGTGCAGGGGCCACGTGGCCGCTTGCTCACCCTGGCCATCTCGACAGCGGCGCTATTTCGGGATCCCGGAAGTGCCCTGAAATAGCCTTTCCACGTCTTTAAACACGCCCGTTATTTCGAAATGGATTTGGAAATAACGGGCGCGCTAGGCCAGCGTCCCTGTGACCGCGGTTCCGCGAGGGTTAAGGCACCTGTCGGAACAGCGCTTTGTTTGGAAACGATTTCGAAATAAGCGGCGCGGTTTGCGCAGCTCCGACTGCGTCTCCTAGTTCGACCTGTGGGTGCCCCCCCGTGTCCATGTGCACATCGAGCGTGTGAGCATTTCAACGCGGGGCCGCAGCGACGGGAGCTGCCATTTTCTTTGGTGAGCTGCCGCTGTGGTTACAACCTCTCTTCACAGCCCTGGGACGTACCTTGCAAGAGGCAAGAGCGGGTCCTGCTTCCCCTGCTGCTAGCTGCAGAGCTGCATTTCCGGTGCTCTAACCTCCATCTGCAGCCCGACATGTTGGCAGCTTCCTGTCTGATTATGAACGAACCTTTTCTTACTCTCTTGAAGACCTGGGAAGGAAATGTGTTAGCACTCACTGGCATGAGCCGAAAGAACCAGAATCCCGTTTGTGCTGCCCTGGATTTTCCCTTCAGATCAATTGTTAAATGAGACCGAGGGGGGAAAAATTCCCTCTTCAGCTCTGCACTGGAAGGTGCAGCCTTAGGCCTGAGGCCGAGAGCCATGTTAGCAGCATTGCTGACGTTCCGCCTTCCTTAAGCAATGGCGTTAAGGTGTTTTGCAAAAGGCTTGCTGAACTAGCACCGAGTGCACACAGAGCAGGCGAATGGACGTTACAATTCTGCTTTGATCTCTGACACCAACTCATTATGTAACCTTTGGAAAATCACGTAGCTTCTCTCTGCCTCCACTTTCCCCCCTAGGTAAAATATGGGATAAGTTTTACCTCCCCTGTGGGGATGTTTTGGGGCTCAAAAACAAAACAGGCAGCTGAAATTAAGTCCCAAAGTTCGATTTTTCTAGGAACAACGCTTTATAAAACTGAAGAATAACAGAAAGGTTTTTCATGCAATGAAAAGGAAATAATGGCTTTAAAGCTGTCCCACATGCATAAATATCTGCAGGACTTAAAAGACAATGAAAACAAAATAACCAAATACAGTATAAAGAGTAAAAAGTAAATAAGATTTTCCATTTTTTCAAATTCATTCATTTAATATGAAATTGATAGGGTGTATACGATTTTTTATCAAATTCATATTGTTAATCTTTAAAAACAGTGAGTAGGCCCATGGCACCTTAGGTTACATCAACACAGCAGGGCTAAATCCGAATTAGCTACCCAACTTGAGTTACATCAATTGTGTAGCGTTGAAAGAGCTTATTTCAGCTTTTAGCACAGTCTACACAGTGGGAAGTCTGAGGGAGAGCACTCCCCCCCCCCTCCGATTTCCCTTATTCCTCATAAAATGGGGGTTACAGGAGTGGGAGTAAGAAGTCCTCTGGCTGGACGTTATTTTGACATTATATCGAAATAACTGCTTGTGTGTGGACACGGACTATGTTATTACATTAGTTATTCTGAAATAACACTGCTCTGTAGGCGTAACCTTGGGAACTAACAAATATATATATATGGTATCATGCGCCTTTGTGATCAAAACCCACTTCTTCAGATGAGATGATTCTGAAATCCTGTTCATCTGAGTGCTCCCTTTGTTAATTAAGGTTAATGGTCTTTGCAAGGTGTTAAAAGTAAAAGTATTTGCCTTTCTCAAGTACTCTCTATCCAAGAATCTCAAAGAGGTTTATGGAGCCTCCCAAATCACTTCCAAATACCATAGAATTTTAGAACACTTGAGGTACGTCTAGATTGGCAAGATTTTGCGCAAAAACTTGCCTCCTGTCTACACTGGCCGCTTGAATTTGCACAAGAGCACTGACTCTGTAATGTAGAAAATCAGGGCTTCTTGCGCAAATACTTTCCCGCTCCCGCTCAGGGATAAGCCTTCTTGCGCAAGAGGCCAGTGTAGACAAGCACCTTCATTGTTTGGTAGGTTGATAATGTCCCAGCCATCCGGTATCTTTATTTAATCCATTAGCATGAGTATGCAAATCTAGATGCCAATCTAGATGCTCTTTTGCAGAAATACTTTGAATGGAAAAACTTTTCCGTTAAAAGTATTTCCGCAAATCATGCCAGTCTAGACGCAGCCTAGGACCGCAAGGAGCCTCCAGAGTCATCAAGTCCAGTTCACTGCCCTCAGGGCAGGACCAAGCTGGGCACAAGGGCCTCCGCGGGGGGGGCAGAGCAGAGAAGGCTGCGCGCTCCCCCACCCCCAGGCCTTAATCGGCCTCCTCCCGCCCTGCCAGAAGCATGTGGGGCTGAGAAGCACCACGGCTGCTCGCAGGGCGGGGGGGGACTGGAGGAGGCTTCGCCCACTGCCCCGCCCCCGAGCCAATCAGGGCCTGGGGGCGGGGGAGCTGCGTGAAACTTCCTTCACCCTTCCCCAGCCCTGGCAGGCGCCCGCAGCACTTCAAAGTGCCACGTGCTCCTTGCAGGGCGGGAGGAGGCTTCCCGTGCTCCCCCGCCCCCGGGTCCTGATTGGCCCGTGACTGGGGGAGCGTGCCAAGCCTCTTCCAGGGCATGGGTGCCTAGTGCAAAGGGGGGCAAAGGGGCTCCCCCACCCCCAGACCAATCATAGTCTGAGAGTGGGGCAGTCCCACCCCATCCCATTTAGTCCTCACCCCTTCCTGTTTAGGCCCCGCCCCTTCCAGGGTGGCCTGGGGCTACTTCAAACATTTTTGAAGTGGCCCATGGGCAAAAATTATTGCTCCCCCTGACAGGTGTCAGTCCGATCTGCTCTTAAATATCTCCAGTGATGCAGATCCCACAACCTCCCTCGGCAATTTATTCCAGTGTTTCACCACCTTGACAGGCAGGAAGTTTTCCTAACGTCCAACCTAAACCTCCCTGGCTGCAATTGAAGCCCTTTGCTCCTTGTCTTATCATCAAAGGCTAAAGAGAATAATTTTTTCTCTCGTCTTTGTAAGAACTTTCATTTTACAGATGAGGAAACTGAGGTACAGATAGGGTAAGTTCATGCAGAAAGAGAATGGCAGCCCAGATTAGTTTCCTGAATGCCAAACCCCATGCTCTGACCATTAGACTATGCTCCTTCCTTAACATAACAAAAATCCCCTTCCACACACACTGAAAGCATGGCTTCCTTCTCAGAATCGCTGACTTGTTGAAAGGTATAGGGGATTTTTATGTACTCTTGGCCTGGAATTATACCAGCAGTAATCCACTGGCCAGCCAAGAAAGATGTAGAGGTTTAGCCAGCTGCTCCGACTTCCCAAATGAGCTGAGTCCACCCTGTGTTTTACGGGACACAACACAGTCCCCAACCTAGAGAGGGGGAAACACCTTCATGCAGTGAGAAGTGAGAAGTCCACTCCCAATCCCTTTACTGGCAGTGGAAGATCCCGTTTCCGCTAATTCTGGTGGTACCAAGGGGGACTGAGTGAAGGAAAGCGCCTGGAGGGTATGAGAAGCGCTCGGAGTGTGTCCCCTAATGGAAGAGCCGATTAAGCCAGGCGTATTAATTGTAGCGCTACACATGCCCCCATGCAGCAGCAGATGTGCCCCTCCCACCCTAGCGAGACCTTCCTTCTTTCTCCTTCCCCGGGGTGGAAGAAGGTAGCGCAGGCTTGAGGAGTTCAGAGCCAGCACGGGATTCAGGACTCGTGTTTGTAACCAGCTCTGCATGGGCCATGTTTGCCAGCCAGGCTTTGGGGCCAGGGGCATGGGTAGCCCACCAGTGTGCGTTCAGTGCTCCCCTCTGCTCTGATCCACAAGAGATGTGGTAAAGCTGCTGGCTGCGCATTTAGCTCCATTTCTATCCCTGCGGCGCACACTCAGATCTCCCCCACCACTCGTGGCAGAGCCCAGAGCCAGAGCTCCCACTGGAGACAGGGGAAAGCAGTTTTGAGCTCAGCCAGTCCAGGCATGGGCAATCCCCCTGCAGGGCTGGGCTGAGCTGGCACAGGCTAACTCCACGCCATGTGGCTGTGTCTAGACAGGCAAGTTTTTCCGCAAAATCAATTGATTTTGCGGAAAAACTTGCCAGCTGTCTACTCTGGCCACTTGAATTTCCACAAAAGCACTGACGATCTCATGTAAGATTGTCAGTGCTTTTGCGGAAATACTATGCTGCTCCCGTTCGGGCAAAAGTCTTTTTCCGAAAAACTTTTGCGCAAAAGGGCCAGTGTAGACAGCAGAGATTTGTTTTCTGCAAAAAAGCCCCATTCACGAAAAGGGCGATCGGGGCTTTTTTACGAAAAAGCGCGTCTAGATTGGCCACGGACGCTTTTCCACAAAAAGTGCTTTTGCGGGAAAGCGTTCTGCCAATCTAGACGCGCTTTTCTGAAAATGCTTTTAACTGAAAACTTTTCCGTTAAAAGCATTTCTGGAAAATCATGCCAGTGTAGACGTAGCCTGCGGGTGCAGGGCAGAATTTACACATGGCAGCTCTTAGTCCCATTTTACAGATGGGGAAACCGAGGCACAGAAGGGCTAGGGCAGGTGAGACAGGAGTCCGGGCTCGCACCCCTGCTCTTGAACCCGGGGACACGCCCCCCGCCCGGGAGACGAGGCTCCCAGCCCAGGATTAGGACCGGGGAGTCCCGGCTGCCCTTCCAGCACAGCTCTAGCGGGCGGCGAGGGAGGCTGGGAGGAGGAGACGCTGTCCCTTTAAGATGGGACTTGTTTCTCTCTCTGGTTTGTTTACATCTCCCTCCGCCTCGATCAACGCCTCATCACAGTCACCTCACATTTTACGCAGATCCCAATCCCTGGGGTCCTTCCGCCTCCCACGCGTGTGTCTCCTTTAGGCCCCTCTCGTTCCCAGTCGGAGTTGCCCCCGCGCCTCCCCCCACGCTGTGACTGAGGGAGCAAAGTGGCCCAATTCGCAGTCTCCTCCGCTCAGTCGGCGAAGCCGTTCAGGACTATTTTGGAACGTACCACTTTCCTCGTGAGGAGGGACGACAGGACATTTCGCGACCCCTCCCCTGGGAGCACAGAAACCGAACGGCTACTGACTTTTGACCTTACAGAGCCTCTGGCAAGCCGCTCGGAGCCATTCGGCTCGCAAGAGTTTAAGCCCCCTTGAAACACTATGGTAGGGACCAAGTGCCACCCCTACTCTCTCATTGGTCTAGCCGCGGACGAAGGACCAATCGTAG